GGATCTCCCAGCAGGACCGTGCACTGACCAGTCCCCATGGTAGGCCACAAGTCACTCAACCTAGAGATTCCCAGCCAATCATTTTGTCGGGATTACAAGGCCAGGGCTAGGAAGGCCAGGCAAAAGGGATTCATTGCACAAGTGGGAACGGTGAGGAGATCCCAATGAAGTCCGTAGTTTAGTTTGCAGTGGTGAAGCAAGGTTATTTTCATTGTTTTAAGGACGCTTCTGGGGTGAATGAAGATGGTAACAGGGAAAGCTGACTAAAGCTGATTATGAGAACCCTCAGAACTATTTTTGCAACTTTTCTCTAAGTCTAAATGTATCTCAAGATAAAACTTTTTTTTTAAAAAGGACCCTCTGGGGGCAACTACAAAGATATCATTCTTATTTCACTGAATTCTAGACTTTGGGGCATAATAAGGAAATAAAAACAAACTCACTGCCATCGAATCAATTCTGCCTCACAGCAACCTGGTAGGACAGGGTAGAACAGCCCTGGTGGGCTTTCAAAACCATAACTCTTTTTTTTTTTTTTAACATTATATTAGGGGATCATACAACTGTTATCCCAATCCATACACACATCAATTGTGTAAAGCGCATTTGTACATCGTTTCTCAAAACATTTTCTCTCCACTTAAACCCCCGACATTAGGTCCTCATTTTTCCCCTCCCTCCCCGCTCCCCCCTCCCTCATGAGCCCTTGATAAGTTTATAAATGGGTATTTTGTCATATCTTGCCCTGTCCGACGTCTCCCTTCACCCACTTTTCAAAACCATAACTCCTTACAGGAGAAGAAAGCGTCATCTTTCTCCCCAGAAGCAGCTAAGTGGTCTAGAACTGCTGACCTCGCGATTAGCAGCCTGGTGTGTAACCACTACACTGCCAGGACTCCTTTGGGACAAACAGAGAAGAAAAAACGAGCTAGGAGTTAGCGTTATTGAAAGTGGAATTGTACATGTAGGAATGGTTGAAATGGGAAATGCTTTGTTACTTATACTTCACCACAATGAAAGTTTTTTTTTTTTTTTTAAAGGCTGGAATTGTGGATGAACTGTCTACCCAGTTAGTTGCTCAGGCTACAAACATCAGTGTCATCTCGTGACTTCACCTCCAGCAGGGTCCAACCCAGGCTCCGAGACCTGGCCCGTCTTTTAGTCTCTTGAATCTGGCCTTCTTTCCAAGCCTGCCAGCCACTCGGGGGCAGGTGAGGCCACCTCTCCTCATAGATGGCTGCCGGAGCCCTGCACAGTGGGCAGGGCAGAGGAGGCCCCTCTAGGGAAGAAGTGTTTTGTGGGACAGGTGAGGAATACCCCGCGCAGAGGCCTGGCATGGGGAAGGCTGCAGCCTCACTGCCTCGAATTTATCAGCAAGTGAAAGGAACCAGCTACACACCTCAGAAACCCACAATTTGGTCATTCTACACAATCTCTCCTCTGTGAAAACAAGCGAGCGGGTGAGCCAACCTGGGGGCATCAAAGCCTGAGAGCCCGGCGTTATCTCTGGTTTTGATTCAAAGGACTCAGCATATTTGGGTGCTATTTTTATCTCCCCCTTTCATTTATTGTCTCAGGGTAAACACTTGTGATTCATAAATGCCTTAGGAGTGAATCAGTATTCTCCTGTTCAAACCAGTGGAGGCCACATCAAACAATAGCCCACAAGGTATTATTAATCATTAAATAGGAGTCTATATGGGCACTCCGGCCAGGGGGACATTTTTCTTCTCTTTGTCTGTTTTTCAAGGAAATTAACAAAGGGTGAACCTTAACTTTGATCTGTCTAGAAAACATTTTTTGGTTCTGTTTTAACCACTAAAGATTTGGCCAAATTTAAGGCTAAAGGGGCAAATATTTAAGGTGGGAACATGCTCCTTCCTGGCAGTGTGTGTGTGTGTGAATCTTTCTGGCACTCAATGAAGCCTTGCGTTTCAAATCGTAGCCCCCACCTTTCCCACAGGCACATGCCCCGCAAACACGGGCACTCTCCCCCATGATAAGCAAATACAAGTGCCAGTGGTGGACCTGATACGCTGGGACCACCACCTGCGCGTCGACGGGCAGGTGGGAAGTGTGGAGCTTCCCTGCTTGGAGAAGAAACCAGGTCACGTCCACGACACCTTGAGCAGAGCCATTGGAGGCAGCCCTCTCCCCTCTTCTGGTGTGGAGCGAATGAAGAGGCTCCTCTCGGCTCTAACACGCAGTTCCCTCCTCTGGATGGTACAGGAGCCTCACCCTCTGTGGCTAAGTGCTAAGTCTTGGTGGTTTTAAAGTAGCATCTCTTCTCACTTTCCCTCTGGAAGCAGCTCTGATGAAAAGACAGCAGGGCAAGGGGCAGATGAACATTTGAGGGCATGCCTCCACAGGCTTGCACAACTAGGACGGTGTGCTTCCCAGGTCAGGCCAGGTGTCCAGACCTAAGTGTTCGTAGCACCCTTTTCACTCTCAAAAGCACTGGCGTGTGGACCATCAATGATATGGTCACACCTAGCAAGTGCTGGAACAGGAAGGGTCCAGGCCCTGCGCATCTTTCCCAGAAGTCTCATCTCCCCTGAAGAACACAGAGCCCGGCCCGAGCTCTGGAGGGAGGCTGCGTGTTTACTCTCATGGATGAAGTGTCCCTCTGCAGCCCATTGCCCTGCTTTCGGGGCTCCTAGGAGAGGTCCCCCACACACCCTGTGTGCGCTCGCCTCCACCTCAAACTCTCCTTTCTGAGGGGCAGGGTCTCATTCGCTCATTCAAGCAAGGTCCCACCGAGCTCCCCAAACAAAGCAGCAGCCATTGCTCTTGGGGCAGAGACCTGCCCTTCCTGGAAAAGGAGGAGGGCAGGCCGTTTTCCAAGGACCCCCCTGGTCCCAGAGCCTGGGGTTCATAAGACGTTGAGGACTTACTACAAGTCCCTGGGTGGTCTACACAGTTCTTGGTTGCTAAATGAAAGGCTGGGCATTGCAGTCCACCCTGAGGTGCCTCGGAAGAAAGGTCTGGCCATCTAGTTATGAAATCAGTCACTGAAAAGCCTATGGAGCACATTTCTCCTCTGCTCTACACATCAACTCAGCGGTGGCTGACTTGGATGTGAGACAGTGGCAGATCGGCAGTAGAATTCTTGCCTTGTGGAGAGGCCCAGGTTCAATTCCCAGCCAATGCCCGTCAAGCTTGTCTGTCAGTGGAAGCCTGTGTACTGCTGTGATGTGTACAGTTTGAGTAGTGACCTCCGCAGCCACAGACAACATTATACCACAACGGCTGGCTATCCATTTCTTTGAGACCGGGGAGTCATGTGGATTTCTCAGATGAGTAAGGGGTACCCATCTTAAGGTGGCAGAGGCGTATCAAGGGTAATAATAAAAGTGGCTAAAGGCTTATATTGTATAGGCACTGTTTTAAGCACATGCCTCGCATTAATCCTCAATGATCCTGGGAGATTGGCACTATGGTGAGTAAACTGAGGCAGCGCATGGCCAGACCCCAGGGCTGCAAAGTGAACAAGCTGCAAAAAGCATTGCAGGGGTGGACTCTTCAAGCTTTGCCTCTGGGCACGCAGCTACCGGTGCTTCCTGAGATCGAATGGAGATGCATGCTCAACATTCCTAACAGAAATCATCACTGGGCCAATGGCATCTCAGCTGTAAAACACTTGAAATCCACAGGGGAAGGTGCTATTTAAACAGAAGGAGCCAGCACTTCAGTGCCGCTTTCTGGTCCTCTTTATCAATTTCGCGCAGCATCATAAAACAACAGGTGTGTCGGGCTGCTCTTTCTGTGTGCTGTATTTACACTTATTTAACCCTGGTGTGTCTGGCTGTGATTACTGTTTACCTCCTGGTCACAGAGTCCAGCACGAGGAGAGGCGGGCGGGACGGGGTGGGGAAGGCGTACAGTACGCAGGTCTACTTCAGGGTGGTGTGCTGGCTTTGTGCACCCGCCCCCGCCACGAGCTGATTACCTGTCTGAGGTGACCTCCTCATTTTCCAGTTGTCCAGGAAGACCAGTAATCTTCCCACTGGGCTTCTTTTTCCCCCCTTTCCTGTCTGCTTCCCTGTGGTGGGACCTGCCTGCTTAAATCTTACTTATTAACTATACATAGATAGGGCAGAGCGCGATTACAGCAGAATTGTTTGGGAGCTCAGTATCTCCTTTCTTCCCACGTACCTTACCCTGGGAATGGCTTTGTACTTGCATATTGCCAAGTGGTGGTTTGTCTTTAATAACCATCAATAAAGATAGGCCTGTGAAAACACGGCGAGCCACAGACTCCTCTAAATTCGCCGGATTGCAACAGAATGGGCGTCCTGGCTTCCTGGAAGGGGCTGCTGGGAGTGACCTGAATAAGGCCTCCCCTTTGAGTCTTGGGATTATCTGGAAGAATCCAATATCCTCGGAGGCTTCCAATGAGTTGCCATACAATCCTATTTCTCCAAGTCCAAACTCATACGTCTGCAACTTAGGGAGGCATATAGACTATATTGCACGTAGGCTTTCATTCTCCAAATATTTGGGGGTGGCAAAGATGGGGAGACTTCATCTTATGCCACTTTGGACATGTTCTCAAGAGAGACCAGTTCCAGGAAAAGGATGTCACACTTGGTAAGGCAGCAGGGCGGTGCAAAAGAGGAAGGCCCTTAATGAGACGTCCTGATACCTCGGCGGTAACAGGGGCTCAGACATAGGAGGATGGTGAGGACAATGCCGGAGCGGGCGGTGTGTCCTGCTGCTCTGTCTAACCGCCCTCAAGACCCCAGGAAGCGGCAGTTGAGCAATCACATGACCTGCAGCATTGGGCCCATCTGCTGCAGGAGGCTTCGTTCAAGTGGTAAAGAGCAAAGTGACACTGAGGTCTAAGGGGCACCTGGGCCAAGCAGGGTGTTTCAATCGCCTCCTAGGCCTATGAGAGCTGGACACTGAATCAGGAAGACAGAACAGTGTCGGAGGGAACTATTGAGTAGACCATGGGCTGCCAGAACAAACAAATCTGTGTAGAAAGAAGGACAGCCAGGATGACCCTTAAAGGCGAGGGTGGTGAGACTTGGTCTCACGTACTTTGGACGCCTTGTCAGGAGTGATTGTACATGAGGCGCCTGAGTCAGAACCAACCGGACAGCAACTAAAACCGCCACTCTGTGGGGGCTCTGCACTGGACCCTGAGGAACCAGGTGCCATCCTTATCAGAAAAGACGTGGAAGATATGGGAGGGAACGGAGACATTTTTTCATGTGAGGCTGGGAGGTCACTACTGCACACCACACAGAGCAGCTGAATACAAGCAGGGATGAAGGTCCGGAAGGGGTGTGATTCTGCTCTGCACTTAGTAGGTGTTCAGGAATACTCGTTGAATTGGATTAAGTTAAACAAGAGATTAGAAACTGGAAGGTTTACACCCCTGGCTGTATTACTGCCTGTCTGACTCACTTCCATCAATACCGGTTCACTCAGGACCCAAAAAGCAAGCTGAAACTCCACCTTTCCACTCGACAACAGGTAGGTCTAGATACCAAGTCTGAGTCTGTCCCAACTGCCAGATGAGGGGTGTGTAGAGGGTTGAATAGCCGCCTAGGACCAGGAAATCAAATACTTGACTTGAGCATTGGGTCCCTACGTGATGGTAGGAGCCTATTAGGATAAAGACCATACCTGGGCACATTAATGATGTAGTCGCTCTGGGAGCCAGCAACACTCAGGGTACCTTTGCTCAGTGACCTCTCATCAGTTTGGGCAAGACTGCCAGATACCAGCAGAGCCCGCCCTCCCAGGTGCCTCTCAGATTTCACTTGAGGCTGTTCTCCTGAAGCCTGGCCCTGCCAAAGGAAAGATCCCCTGCCTGACCCAATGTAAGATGGACACAGGGAAGTCCCGATTGTCCACAGTGGTCCAGGAACGAGGGGGTGAAAGCCTTGGGAGCTCCAAGAGAGCCTCATTCTGAGGCTGTGCCCCCCCCGCACCGCAGACTGGTTCCAGAGCAGGTTGTACTCTCCCATCCCTATTCCTCAATGGCCACTCCTGCCACCCTGCCAAACAAGCACACACACACCTTTTCCAATGTATGGGAGGTTATGTTATGTCTATGGGCGACATGCTACAGGTGTTGGATATCGATCTATCAAGGCCCCCACTCACAGACCTGGCCTTCCTTTCCAGAGCTTCCCTCTTGGCAGGGCTGGATGCCCACAGTGCAGCTCTGCCCCCAGCCCAGGGGAGGCTCTGGCCAGCACTTTTCCAGAACCTGTTCAGGCTTCTTGCTAAGTGGGATTCCTGCCCCTCCCTTCTCCTTTTCTTCCTGGCTCCTCTCAATGAGAAAGGGCCTTCCTCTTTGGTCCTCCAAAGGTGTATGAGTATTCTAGACCAAACTGGCAACCATCGTCCCCTGTCCCCTCGGCTTCATCCTGGTTCACCCACACCTTAGGAATTCAAGTCCATTCTGCGTGTGTGTCATCCACCATGACTAAACCGGAATGAGCCCATAAGGAGTCCTGTTGACTTCAAGAGACACATACGCACTTCCTACGCAGCCACCATCTATGAGTCACAAGAAAAACCCTAATCTTTCTCACTTCTCTGTGTCTTAAATGTGAGGTTGGGCCAGACGTTCTCCGCAGAGCCGCCGCGGTCTCCTGCTTCAACAGTGCTTGAACGAAACCCGGCGCTCGCCAGCCTCCCCCCGCCAACCGGCCGCCCAGCCCGCCGTCCAGCAGCACCTCTCCGCCTCCTCTCGACGCCCCCAGGCCTCCACCGCCGCCATGACCGCGTCTCCCTCGCAGGTGCGCCAGAACTACAACCAGGACTCGGAGGCCGCCATCAACCGCCAGATCAACCTGGAGCTCTACGCCTCCTACGTCTACCTGTCCATGTCTTACTACTTCAACCGGGATGACGTGGCTCTGAAGAACTTTGCCAAATACTTTCTGCACCAGTCTCATGAGGAGAGAGAACACGCCGAGAGA